CTATGCTGATGACACAGTTGTTCATTATCAAGCTAAAACAGTTGCTAAGGCTTTCCAGCTTTTGCAACCTGCATTCAACATCATCCAGTCTGATTTGTTCCACCTCAAACTTGTCCTAAATGTCGACAAAACCAAAGGGATGTTTTTTTCAAACAGGAAGTCGGTCCCAGCAGTTCTTCCTCTGATATCATCCTCAAATGGTGTCCCGATTGAGTTTGTTGATTCCTATAAATATTTGGGTATCTTGGTCGACACGCATCTCTCTTTTAACCTTCATGTGGAAAACCTAGTAAAGAAACTGAAAGTTAAACTGGGTTTCTTTTTCAGAAACAGATCCTGTCTAACCCTGAATGCTAGAAAACGCCTTGTATCTGTGACTTTCCTTCCCTCCATTGATTATGGTGACATTATTTACATGAATGCTCCTACAAGAACCCTGCAGATGTTGGATGCTGTCTATCATGGTGCACTAAGATTCATAACTGGCTGTGATTATCGTACCCACCACTGCACCCTGTATTCACTGGTTAACTGGACATCATTAACTTCATGCAGACTCTCTCACTGGTACATTTTCATCTTTAAATCACTTCTTGGTCTGCTGCCTTCATACATCTCCTCCTACATGTCTCTGCGTGAGTGCAGCTACAGCGTGCGCTCTCAGGACATTATTACCTGCAGTGTTCCCTCAGTGAGGACTGAACTAGGCAAAAGGACCTTCTCCTACTCCGCTCCTGTTTCCTGGAATATCTTATAAAAAGATCTGAAGCTCTTGACCATGACCTCTCTAAGTGGCTTTAAGAATCTGTTGGACTCCTGGCAGGGACCAATGCAGACATGTTCCTGTTTTTAGTTTTCTACATTCACCTTAGAATCTAGCTGTTTTTTGTTACTTTTTTTTGCCATCTTATTTGTAAAAAAAAATTAAAAAAAATAATCTATGCCTTTTTGTGGCTATCTATTGTTGTTGCTGTTGTCCATTGTTGTCATCATTCTTTGTTGAAATCAGATCTCTCTTGTAAATGCGTCCTTGAGGCTCAATGGGATTTACCTGTCTAAATAAAGGTTGAATGAATTATCTCGAGTCCTTGGCTGCCTGCCTGCACCATTGGGTTCACCAGCGCCAGTCCTCATTGTGACAGAGTTATGATTTAATGGAAGCTACACAGGGGAAATTCTGTAAAAAAACTCAATTTATTTTTATTTTTTTTCATTTACCCTTTATTTATACAAGTAGTCTCAAGGAGCCACAAAAACTCATTTTCAAGAGAGACCTGTTTAGGGAGCAGATGGGGGTGAAGGGCCTTGCTCATGGGCCCAGGGTGGAGTGAATGAGGGTGGGGGCAGGTGTGGGTGCATCACCTACCCCACCCTCATGTCTGATGTTGTCGGTACCGGGGCCTGAACCGGCGATCTTCCGATCACAGGCCCACCTTCTCTAACCGCTGCGCCACCACTCCCCATTTGGCTGCTATTATACTTAAAACCAACTGAAGCTGCCTAAGTTTGTCCAAAAACAGCTTCCAGTGATCCCAAATGCAGCCACTAAGCAAGTACACACAATATAAATATGCATCACCGTATTTCTGTCTTGCTATTACTCATGCACAGCACATGCACTCCCCCCTGATGATAGGCAGCCGGTTACTACAGTAACCCAGTCAGACTTTAAAACACCCAGATCACACGGCTCAAAACTCACCGCGAGCGTATGATCATGCGATACGTGAAGCTCCCGGGATGTTTGTTCAAACCCATCGTGCCGTTTGACTTACAGAGCGTACCGCTGAACCCCCTCCTCCACTCTGAATCAGCCTCTGCTCATCAACCCCCGGAGAAGTCATGGATCCTTAAAGGCCTTTTACTCTCACGGCCGAACAACAAAGCCTTCTCCTCCGTTCTGACGGCACGACCACTCGTGTTCCCATCAAAGCCCCCGGAGCTGTCAACCTCGCAAAACCACCTCGCATAAAACCACCGTGACAAGCCGGGCCTAAAAAGAAAAGAGAAGAAAAAGAAAAATCTCCACCTTTTCATGTCCTGGAGTTACCTTAAAGATCTGGAAAACATTCAGTCGATAATGTTTCTCACCTGAGGGCTGTAGACGTTAAACGGTGTTAGGTAGCGGCCGCTGCTAACATCCTCATTGATCATCAATATTCTCATAAGGCCCCGTGGAGGAGCAGCTGATTACACCTTAAAGTAGCTCTTAATGAGAAACCGAGAAGCGAGTTGGGGAACGGTGGTTTTTAGACTTCATCGGGAAAACAAACGAGCCGAGGGGAGGATGAAGGGAAATGTTTTAGAAATGTAAATAACATTACGCCTTATTTTACGTAAGAATGCGATATCCGAAGTAATCTGTTAGGGTTTGGCGTATGTGTTGTGGATGACTCTCAACCGCAACAAATTTGAGCGCAGTCTCTGTAAAATTCACTGAGTTATAGCTGTTTGTATGTTTGCTTTAGTTCCTTAGCTGCGGTGGACAACTTGAAGTGAGCCAAGTCCAAAATATAATCACTTGTAGATGTGTATCCAGTGAGTACTTTGAGAACGTTTCACTAAAATTTATCCAGTGGGTCATGAGATATTTTGCTAACAGACAGGGTTGACACCAACCTTTAATGCCAAAAATTTGAAGTAATATTATTGCACAATGTAGCACTCTGAGTACGAGTTGGGAATGAGTCTTAGCTATCATGACACCAATTTTTTAGCTGAATACCTATTTCATAAGTTATGGACATTGTTGTGTATTTCTAAAGTCATTTGGTTTTGTCTGCAATCTTGAATTGGGGTAATTTCCAAAGTTGATGAATTATAGATGTGCATCTAATAATTACTGTCTGAAAATGTAATTAAAATATATACAGCTGTTCTTGAAATGTTTTGCTAACAGACGAGCACAGTTGGCTCTAATAGTTAATGGCAATGTTCTAAAAATACATCTTGTGCGAGCTGTTATTCCTCAGCGTATGTATTGAGGACGACCCTCAGCTACCAACATGACAGAGTTGTATAAAATTGAACGTTTGCTAAAGTTGGTGAGCTGTGGCGGCCATCTCAAATGGTGTAGACCCCAAAAATGAATCCATTATAGCTTTACATCAGGTGATTACTTTCAGAGAGTTTTAGTAAAGTCTGCCCAGCTGTTCATGAGATATTTTGCTAACAGACACTCACATATATATACAGAGATGAGCAAAACTATTATTACCCTATCTTCTTTGCCTATTATTTTACATGAATTATACCGGCTGAGGGGAAATCAGATTATAATCCTCCTCAGATTCCCAACAATGTGTCTGGTTTAGCCAAAATATCTCTCAGCATAAATTGATCTTTGAAATCTGATGAATAACTTTAAACTAAACTACATGTGACTTGAAACAAACTCCTGTCCATCAGGTTGAAATCAATCTCTGATATCTTTTTTTTAAGATGATAAAAATCAATCTAAACTAAAATTAACAACACAAATTGAAGATAAACTGATTCAATCATTAGCTCAAATGAGAAACTAATGGCAAATTTAGAAAAACTGTTTTGGGCTCCACAGTTTCTGAGCTCAGGGGCCGGACATCCAGCGATTAGTCATTATGTAAATAAATCAATTATTACAATGATCTGTTACCTTTTAAATTTGTTTATTTCATTGCATTGAATCATAAATGCAATAAACAGAACTCAAACCCAGAACTTCCCAAAATTTATTTTTATTTTTTAAGAACTTTAAGAAGTGGCCCGTGGGCCGTCAGTTGAATAGTCCCAAGCTAAACACATGCTATAGCTAAAAATGGCAAAACAGCATGTGAAAGTTTCAAAACAGACACAAAACTCAGACGAAGAGTAGCTTAAATTAGCTAAGCATTTACTAATATTCCCAAACTTGTAGCTAAAAATGAGAAAATGAAAAGTATTAGCAAAACTGTAGCTAAAAGTAGCAACACTGATACTAAAGCTTAAATGAGCAAACCATTTGCTAAAATGAGCAAAAATGTGTGCAATTTCACAGAACAATCGGTGAAAATAGCAAAACAAATGCTTAAGATAAATAAAAACAGTAGTTAAAATGATCAAAACAATACCTAAATTTAGCAAAAGAAATGCTAAAATAAAAAAATACCAACACTAAAACGAGCAAAGTGAAAGTAGCAGAGCAGATGCAACTCACAGAATAGCTAAATGAACTATTAGCAAACCTGTAACTAAAAGTAAAAAAAAAACAAGCATTGTTAGCAAAACTGTAGCTAAAAGTAGAAAAAACAATGCTAAAGTAGCAAAAATATTGCTAAAATGAGCTGAATTATTGCTAAAATATACAGAAAAGCAGCTAAAAGAAGCAACATAGTAGCAGCTAAAAGTAGCATAAATCAGGTTGGCTAACAGATTTCAACAGGAACAATGGTTTTGATAGAATTGATAATTGTATTTATTTTGCATTGCTCCACAAAGTTAACAATAACCAGGAAGCAGTGATGCTCGGACTCAGATTCAGAATCCTGTCCAGCAGCCCCGCGTCACGTGACCGAGCCCCCGGCGGCCACGCGCACAGCCCGACAGGAGCTCAGAGTGTCGGTGAAACGCGGGGCTGCTGCTCGGCGTCGACTCTCCGCGGTTTGTTTTTAAGGTCGAACCCTTTTTACTCGCGCCCGGTGAGTACATCTTTACTCTGACATGTTAAGCTGCGGGTTTTACCTCCTTTCACCTCCTCCTCCTCCTCTGTCGGTGCTCCGACGTGAAGAAATGTTTCCTGCATGCTCTGACTGAGATGCTTGGATGCTGAGTGTTGCTGCTCCGGCAACAACATCCTCCGATGAGGAAAAGACTCCTCTCTTTCTCTATTCTCCTCTTTTTTTTCCTCCCGCAGCTTTTTGACCATTTTCTACCTTTTTTTTTTTTCCTCCTCACCTCTGTCATCATGGCTTCTTTTGGTGTGATTTCATCTGATTTTGATCTCTGCTCTTGGAGGCTGCATCTTGAAAACAAATCACAGTTTTGATTCCCACCTTTGAGGAGTTTGCTCTTCTGATAGGTGAGAGACGTAACTTTGTTGGAGTTAGTTTAGGCATTTTCACTGTTCTTCTCTTGAACTGTTTGCTTCTTGAGTGTCTTGGGAAATGCTGGATTTGCGCCCAGTTATCCATTTTTAATCAAGCAAAACAGCAGAAGTGTACATAAATCAGACTGCCACGTCTTCTTCTTCAACCATCTTGCTTCTATGATTAAAGAACGTCTTCAGGTTTTCATATTTTTTTTTTTCATTTGGAAATATCTGCTCTGTCATTATGTTAAGCAAGAATAAGATATGCTTAAATAAAACAGAAAATATAACTTTTAAGAAGATATTTAACTTGGTTGACTTTGTTATTCACTTTAATTTGCACTAGTTTTGTCTTTAAAATAATATTCGTTTTAGCTAGCTCATGCTAATAGTGGTTAGCGCCAGCTAGCTAGCA